ACATACTCTCGTTAGGTGTACATTTCATCATACATACTCTCGTTAGGTGTACATTTCATCATACATACTCTCGTTAGGTGTACATTTCATCATACATACTCTCGTTAGGTGTACATATCATCATTCTTACTCTCATTAGGTGTACATTTCATCATACATACTCTCATTAGGTGTACATTTCATCATACATACTCTCATTAGGTGTACATATCATTCTTACTCTCATTAGGTGTACATATCATTCTTACTCTCATTAGGTGTACATATCATTCTTACTCTCATTAGGTGTACATATCATCATTGTTACTCTCGTTAGGTGTACATTTCATCATTCTTACTCTCGTTAGGTGTACATTTCATCATACATACTCTCAAATGGACATCAGCCTGTGGGCCACATTCAGCCAGAGGACTGAGTTAACTGACTCTTACACTCATTAGATTGTGAGGCTTACACTCTTTGTTTCAAGGTTAGGTGTACATTTCATCATACATACTCTCGTTAGGTGTACATATCATCATACATACTCTCATTAGGTGTACATATCGTCATACATACTCTCATTAGGTGTACATTTCATCATACATACTCTCATTAGGTGTACATATCATCATACATACTCTCATTAGGTGTACATATCATCATACATACTCTCATTAGGTGTACATATCATCATACATACTCTCATTAGGTGTACATTTCATTATTCTTACTCTTATTGGCTGTACGTTTCATCATTCTTACTCTCATGGGTGTACATTTTTCTCCTCAAAACAATGTATACACTAATTAAAATTTATGTAAAAATCTCAATTTTTTATAAATAAAGATAAAGCTATTGTAATTAATATTGTTCATAGAATTTGTATTAGCAAAAAAATGTTTTTGAAACAAATTGAATGATTTCACTCAATTTTTTTGGTCAGTTCTTTACACTGAGGGTTGTTATAATCAAGAGCTGAAAATAACTGAATGTGATTCAATGTGTGTGTGAACCTCACTAGTAGTGAACAGTATAAAAACTGAATAATTTGAGGGTTAAAATAATATGTTTTATGTGATATGAAAAAAGATGATGACGTTGCCAGTATTTTAGAGATTAAACATAAAACCTTTACAAATGAAATATTAAACAAAAACAAACTTGTAAATTTCTTGTATTTCCCTGTTTGCTCCAGGAATGCATTAGATACCAAAATCCACATAAAGCATACACTTTTCGTATCCATGGTTATGAGGCTGTTGTTGGACCAGTGAAAGGAGTTTACAGGAAGGAAACAGGGGTGAATAAAGCCAGAGAACATTCTCTCTTGGTGTCAGACCGACCACCTTTTGTAACGATTCTTTCTTTGGGTGAGGTTTTTGTTATAGTTTTAATTGATCACTGCAGTGCTAAAAGATCTCCAGTCTCCAGTGGAAATCAGAAGTAGAATAGAAACTGGAGATATAATAAAAAACAGTCTTAACAAAAAATTGTTTTAGTACAAAAAAAAGTGCATAATGACAATAATAGAATAATTTAGACTATTCATGTAAATTATCTTTTAATTTCATTACGTATGTAATGCTCATGTATCATCTTGCTAATAATTATCCACAATGTCTCTCAGTGATAGTATTAGCCAATAAGCTAACTACACAAGTATCTGTAAGCAGTGTGATATTTCTTTGTGAAAGTTGCTGGTGTATATATCAGAAACTAAACATTCTTCTAAAATGTGCAAGCTAAAGTGTTTCAGAACAGTTACTTACTACCAAGTTATCTCTGTTTAGTTCTTTGTGTGTTGTAACTGTTCACTGGTTTTCAAATTACATGATACTGGTATTGTAGTTAAACTTATTAGCTTAAATTTTGCCCATCAAACTTGTAGACAATATAGGAAGCATTAAAAGTGTTTAGCCTTTCTTCCAGTTGAAATAGAACAAAATGTTTTCAAATATGCCTTACAACATGATGTATATTTTTAGTTTTTGAATTGCAACTACAGATGTGTTTAAAATATATTACTTTAGTGGAAAAACTAGAAATACCCATGATGGAAAGAACTGAGAGTAAAGAATGTTGTCACTATTCCTGTAAATAAGACTTGTAATAGTGACAACACTTCAGTAGTTATATCAACCATTATATTGGATGGTATGTTTAGAAACTTCAAGCTCACTATTTCTTTTACTTAAACCTTACATGATTTACTGCTAATGTGTATAGATATTGTAACTCAGTCAGTGTAACTTATGACTTGTGTAGTTCGAGATGCTGCAGCAAGGCTTCCTAATGGAGAAGGAACAAGGGCAGACATAAGTGAACTCTTGAAGGATTCTCAGTATCTTGCTCCTGGAAGTGATCAACAGGTGCTTGTCTCAACTATCAGACTTTTTATAATACTGATCTGTTATGATCATTTGAAATATTGAAAGTTTTTTTCATTAAACATATTTAACCATGTTTATGTTTTATACTATTCACATACATCAATATCATTCTACTTTAAATGAAAACTTAAATCTGATAGGGGGTAGGTAGAATGATCCCTTACA